TGATTATAAAACAGAAATGTTAATTAATCATCATAAATGTTTTGCAGTGATTTCTCCTAGAGTCTATCAGAAGAAAGCTGAAAAAAGGTTACCATGTTGTGAACGACCACAGAATTTTAACCTTGAGCTGGCGCCGCTGGCAAATCTTTATCTTTCTTTCTGTGACATCTCTAAGCCTGAGGGCGGAACCAAAGTTTGTCCGTTTCTTTTACTAACCCGGGCAGCTTTGAGCGACACATGATCTTCTTCCTGACTCCAACCGAGGAAGAAAGCTGGGGGCTCTCTCCGGAGGGAAACCCAGTTGGCTTTTAAGTCTGAGCCCATGAGCTAACTAGGGAAGACTTAACAGCCCGGGACCCGGACACCAAACGGTCCCAACCTGAGGCTTCAAGCCTCTGAAGTGTGTTTTTAACTCCCGTGGGGAGATTTTATTTTGGAAAGAAGGGACTGGATACAGCTTGAATTTTTCTGGCTTGGACTGAAACAGACTAAAGTTACCTGTGAAAACACCTACTCGCCAATGACCGGTAAGCGAGCCGACATCAGTTCCCTGACTAATGGGAGGCGAGCCAGCTCCTACCCCGAGGGTGCCTTAAGAAGTCATCACCAGGTAAAAGCTGATGTGTTCGGAGTGACGTGTCATATGGACCTGAGCTTAGAAAAGACGTGCAGTTCCGGTTGACCCACACTTTGATAAAAGTAAAAGTAGTAGTACCCTACTAATCTTACTTTCCTCCTTTTCTTGTTCTTATTTACCAAAACTTAAGCTAAAAGTGCCAGTAAAATTGTTTGGTTGTTAACATCAGAACTGACGTTTTACTGTTCTATATAAGTAATCTGAGTTGATGTGAATTGAAATTCGGACGCGGGTTTTATCTCATTTAACTTCGACGCTTGTTATAGGAATAACCACAATCAAGTGTACTTATGATTTGTTCAATTTGTGTAAATAAATGATTGCATAGTCTTTATGAATCAACTTGAACTCGTCTGAACGTTCGCTTATTGTGTCACTTTTCACTTCGCACAGTCAAGATATTAACAAGTAATGAGAAAAACCTTGGTAAAAGTTTCCTCATAACCTTGTGTATGAGAGATGTGGGAGAAGCTAAATACGACCTTAAGCTCACCCTCCTACACTCCGAACATACAAAGCTCTTAACAAACAAGCTCCATCATATATTGAACATCTTATTGTTCCATAGTTTCCTAACAGAGCACTTCACTCTCAGACTGCAGGTTTACTTGTGGTTCCTGGAGTTTCTAAAAGTAGAATAGGAGGCAGAGCTTTCAGTTATCAAGCTCCTCTCTTGTGGAACCAACTTCAAGTTTCTGTCTTTGAAGCTGGCACTYTGTCTACTTTTAAGATTAGACTGACGGCTTTCTTTTTGATAAATCATATACGTAGTTAGACTTGGGTTTCCAGAGTTGTTCTTCATTTCTGCTGCTATAGACTTAGACTGCTGGAGCACAAACTGAGCACATTTCCTCAACTGCTCCTACCCTGGTTTACAGAGCAGTATGTAAATTTTTACTGTAATGTTTTTTTCATGACATTGTCTCACTAAAATAAATCTCTAGACCAGGCTGCAATTGATTCATCGGTCAGTAAATTCTTTACCTCCATGTGTACCTCTGTGACATCAAACTTTGTCTTTTGGTTAAATKTGATATTCAAAAAAATGTGGTGCACAGAATTCCAATACAAAAAAAGAGAAAGAGTAGATGTGTATTCAGTTCTGAGGAATCACAAAAATGGGATAACCAGTAAAATACCAACATGTTTTAATAAGAGCAAAAAACATGTTGGTATTTTTTTTGGATTGCTGGTTATCCCATTTTTGTAAATTTTATATTCTCACAAAAATGATTTCTGTGATGGTTCCCTAGGATGAGCCGGAAAGTGTTGATGGGGGGAGGGATGTCTGGGCATCTCTTTTGTGTTTTCTCAACGACCCAACTTTGTCTAAGAAGTGGATGTATTGATCTAGCAATCAAAGTTAGCTTTTTTTCAACATGTTTGTGGATGTATATAATGGCACAAAGGTGATTTCTGAGGTCCTCAGAACAAGTTGCTGATGCTCATCAGGCTACCGAAAAAATGTTTTATGTACAGATGAGACCAAAATAGAACATTTTGATTGAAATGAAAAGCATAATATTTGGAGAAAGGAAAAACCTGCATTACAGTAAAAGACCCTTATCCCCTGTGAAACACGGTGGTGGTGGTATCATGGTTCAGTGCTGTCTTCCTGCACCTGGGCCAGGACTCCCTGACTTCACTGATGAAACAATGAATTCTGAATTATATCAGAGATTAATAAGGTGAAGAAGGTGGGCCATACAGTGAGATAATGGTCCTAAGCACAAATTGTTTTACGGAAGAATGATTAAAGAAAAATATAGTTCATGATTTGGAAAGGGTAAGTTCAATGTCCTGATCTTAATCTAATCCAAATTRTATGAAAGAACCTTAAGTGAGCATATCCTAGAGTTGATGCTGTTCTGGATGGAGGAACGGGCTAAATTTCCTTCAAGTCATTGTGCAGGACTGATCAACAGTTACCAGAAACAGATAGTTGCAGTTGAAACAAAGGTTCAGGTATTTTTGCCGCTTCTGCAGCATTAGATTCACCCACTGATTCCACCCTCTGTAGAAGATACAGGATGCCTTCATCTCTGCACTGACCCTTAAACTGACAGAACTTGTGGCAGATAAAGTTCTCATGACATAAACAGGAAAGAAAACCTTTTTTAAACTAAGTACCAAGAATTAACACCAATGTTTTTTATCAACTTTATTTGTACCTATTGGTAGATTTGATTACAATGAGGTGAGTCTGCTTCCTGCCAAATGACACAAGACACATGATCATAAAGTAGATGCAACATGATTCAACAGAATGTACAGTAAATACTGTATTTATTCATGTATAATACTAGAAATTTAACCCTAAAAATCATCCATAAAGTAGGGGGGTAGTATTATACACGGGTTGTTTATAATTAGACTCGTTATGCTTTTTAAGCTCAAAAATGTCAATCGTAATATACTCGAGATTGTATTATACATGAATAAATATGGTAGTTTTAATTCATGAATGTTTAACATTTTAACATGAAATGAGTGTTGCATCTTATGTTTTTCTGTTGGTTTTAGTTTTAYGTACAGAGAAATGCTTGATGAAACTGGTCCGTAGGTCTTTACTGACCAGGCCGTAGATGATGGGGTTAATAATGGGTGGAATGATGAATACTAGGATAGTAAGGAACTTCTTAACATTCTGGGAAAGAGAGGGGAACCTGTAACTCGTAATAACAACTAAAGTAGCAACCTGAAAGAGAATGTAGACCATGATGTGAGGGGCACAGGTCTGAATGGCTTTGCTGCGGACGCTGCTGTCAGCTCGGACTTGCTTCAAAGAAGCTCTCAGGATCCTGATGTAGGAGAAAGCAATGAGGATGAAGGTCCCGGAGGAGACAGACCAGGTTAGAACCATACCTGCAGAACATAAAAACACAGGTATGAGCTAAAGTCAGGCAGAGAGACAAAAAGCAACAGTGTTCTGACCGTAGATGTTGTTTACGGGGGTTGGAATGCAGGCCAGGTCCAGGATGGCTCGGTTGCCACAGTAGACATGTTGGATGGTCTGACCACACAGAGGGACATTTATGTGGAAGGAGAAGAGCACGAGGACGAGCACCAGGGCCACAATCCAGGCCAGAGCGCAGCAGGAGTGGAGCCGAGCTGACGTCATGATGGAGTGATACCTGAGAGGTTCACACACTGCAACAAACCTGAGCAGAGGAAATAAAGGTCCTACAGTGTTTACAGGACATCTCAGGACACTAGTGATCAGTAGTTAGGCTGATGGTCCTCGTGTTGATGTGCACAATCAGTTCTGTTCATTATGTAAAGGTTCTGCTTATAAGGCCTAATTATCCTGCAGCTCCTCAGACTGAAGAAGTCTTTTGCAAAATAAACAAAATATTCAAAGTGTAACCCATCCAGCTGATCTGACTCAACCCTGTTAGGAACTATCAAAACATTACTGTTTATATTGCCCTTCKTCTCAACTTTACATGACTGATTCAAGTTTCAGAAAAGATGTTCAAATTTGTTTTCAGTGTTKCAAAAGAAAGAAAAAACAGACCCCAAATGTTTTTAAAAGTACACATCTAATTGCAAAGTAGTACATGGATCATTGTAAAAACTCTGAAAGATAAAAGACTATAAGTGAATAAAATAATTTAGAGCTCTATACAGAGAGATTATTGGTAAAAATTCTCAGACAGTAAACTTGAAACAAAACAAAAATATATCTCAGTAAAACTCATCAGTTACACTTTTAAACATTTCATATAAAACACCAGACTCTTAAAGGATGTCAGCTGTTACCTGTCGTAGCCCATCACACTCAGGATGTTCACCGTCACAACGCCGATTGTGTGGGCACAGATGCCCTGAGCGATGGCCTGGGTGTAGGCGATCTTCTTCTGCCCCATGAGGAAGTGCATCATGAGGCGAGGGAGCACCACTGTGGCCGCAATCAGATCACAGACCATCAGGTGAGAGACCAGMACAAACATGGGTCTGTGCAGGTTTTTATCCATCACAATGACACACAACACCAGCCCGTTCGCCAGGAACACCACCATGTATGCAGTCAGAGCCAGGAAGAACAGCAAAGGTCCGTATCCTGGAGGAACATCGAACCCTACAAGTTCAAAAACAATCGGCTGTTTGAGAGGAGTGACCAACGACTGGTTCTCCATCCAAAGATCAACAGTTCTGTAAAAGACAAACACATTAAAAACACACTAAAACAGGTCAAACTTGTTATTTAGCTCAAACATTTGAATGTCATACCTCCAAATCATGTAAATGATGGCAGCAGAGAGGAGGCCTACATGTATTATATATTCTAATAATAACAGGTCTTCACTGTGTAAGGAGACCATGAAGATGCCCTCTCCTGTTTCCAGAGCTTAACGTTGTGACTTGGAGAGGAACGGCTTCTGAACTTTATATGATTTCTCTTTCCAGAGTCAGACACCATGGAAACACCAAGCCTACCTGTCAGAGCTGACGTATGCAGAAAGCAGGTAGATGGACGACACAGGAGACGTGTTGAAGATAACCTGAGAAGAAACAACACTCTGCTGCACAGCTTGAAATCCAAAACAGCCAAAAATTAATATAATTTAAAGAGAAGAACAGAGACAGAGATTTTCAGTCAGAAACAGAAGAAGATATGAGAATCATGGTAAGAACAAACAAATCCATCCATCCATCCATCCATCCATCCATCATCCATTCATTTATCCATCCATCCATCCATCCATCCATCATCCATTCATTTATCCATCCATCCATCCATCCATCATCCATCCATTATCCATCCATCCATCAACCATCCATTTATCATCCATCCATCCATCCATCCATCCATCCATCCATCATCCATCCATTTATCATCCATCCATCCATCCATCCATCCATCCATCCATCCATCATCCATCCATTTATCATCCATCCATCCATCCATCCATCATCCATTCATTTATCCATCCATCCATCCATCCATCATCCATCCATTATCCATCCATCCATCATCCATCAACCATCCATTTATCATCCATCCATCCATCCATCCATCATCCATTTATTTATCCATCCATGATCCATCATCCATCCATCCATCCATCCATCCATCATCCATCCATCCATCCATCCATCCATTCATTTATCCTTCCATCATCCATCCATCCATCAATCATCCATCCATCCATCATTCATCCATCCTTCCATCATCCATCCATCCATCCATCATCCATTCATCACATCCATCATCCATCTATTCATCCATCCATCATCCATCCATCCAGCCATCCATCATCCATCCATCAATCATCCATCATCCAACCATCCATCTTTCCATCCACCATCCATCCATCCATCCATCATTCCATCCATCATTCATTCATCATCCATCCATCCATCATCCATTCATCACCATACATCATCCTTCCATTCATCCATCCATCATCCATCCATCCATCCATCCATCCATCAATCTTCCATCATCCAGCCATCATCCATCCATCCATCCATCCATCCATCCATCCATCCATCGATCAATCATCCATCCATCCATCCATCCATCCATATATTGGTTGAACTTGGCCAATCTAGCTTTACACATTAAAAATGTTGTGCACTTCCAAAAGAGATTTCTAAAAGAAAACAGAGCCTTTCTGCTCACATTGTCGCACACAATGAGTTTTATGACCACAGCTGATTTTTACATTCAGTATCTGCTGCATCACTGTAACATCTCTCTGAGGGTCTGTAAAGAGTTAGACTCGGCTTATTGGTCATTTTCGTTTTTCTTTTGTCCGTCCATCCGTTTTCTTCCTCTTATCCAGGATCAGGTCTCGGGGGCAGCAGCCTCAGCAGAGACCCAGACTTCCCTCTCTCCAGCCACTTGGACCAGCTCCTCTGGGRGAATCCCAAGGTGCGTTTTTCTTTTGATTCCAGAAATTCTTGGTTGAAAGTATAAAAACAACTCTTCACCTCCAGAGTTTCTCTTTGAAAACTTTGTTTTAAATTTTGCTGTACAAACTCAGAACTGTTGCATGTTGGGATCTCGGGGGACCACATGGTTCTGTGTTGGCCCACCAGTTTCATCAGAGCTTTTTCCTATTGCCACAGCTGTCGGTTAATGAGTGTTACTGTTTTTAAAACAAAGGTGATCATTAATGAGGTCTGTGGTGAGACGATCCTTAACAAACATTTACTAACAGTTTCTGATGGTAATTAACCCTCTGGGAAGAGGACCAAGGCCCAGGGATATGGGTTTGTAAGAGTTCAGAGAATAACACTAATTACAGCCTGAAGTCTCCTGAGAAGACTCACCTCAGTCTCACAGCACCACCAACCTCTGCTTACTGATTAAAAACATCACATGTTGACAGGGAGACAAGTCAACAACTAAAGGTCAGACTCTGACCTCAAGATTAATCWAACATGATGACATACTTTCTAATATATTAATGACAGGAGTAAATTCAAGGTTAAAACAGCTTTTTAGTTTAAGCACTTATGTTATAAATCACACTGTAGTTGTAACCAGATCTTTCTGTCAATATTAGGAATATTTTTATGTGTTCAAACCACACAGCAGTATAAATTAAACCATAAACAGACCTTATTCTGTAGTTTAAGCAGCAGCTTGAGTCTCTTCCCTGAGATATTACGGCCATTGTGACCAACCCTTCACATAATCCTGAAATAACAATCCTGTAACTCCTGAGGGAGTACCTGAAGCTGCAGCCAAAACTGTTGTTTTAAAACATGACAGATTTATTTTCCGTATGTTCGGCAATAATTAAGATGTAAAATTGAAAAAAGAAACAAAGTGGGACAGAATGTGTAAAGAACTGGAGTCTCTAAAGACAGAGATTACCTTCATGTCCAAAGGTCCCTGAACGCCACACTCCATTAAATTCTATTAGCTGCTGGTCACCGAGACCCTCAGGACCCGTGAGGCCTTCAGGAGTTTTATTGCAGCCAGGAAATAACAAAACTCCAACACAGAAAGTCAAATGAATTTGACTTTATTTCACTCTGGTTTCTGAAGTGTTATTGTGTAATTTATGGATGTGAACATCATATATACACATCATTAAATACGGTATAAGTAAATGTAAAAATATGCTTATTATCAACACTGTTAGCAGTATTGGTTAAAATTTGGATCCAGAATGATTAAGCATAAAAACATTTAAAATAGATTCTCATGTTACAAATACAGTTTTAGGGGGATTGAGACCATTTTAATTTGATTAATTGACTATCAGAGCATTAAAACACTCAAGGAGCACAGTGTGGCTTACCTGGACCCACCCTGAGGCCTGGTCTGAGAGAGGGGGCTCACTGGTGAATGTATGGTGACCAGGACTTCACCCATGTAGGCAGGGGATAACCTAGACCCTCTCTGCCAGGGGACATAGGAGTTCTCCGATCCAGTCTGATRTTGTGGGTCTGTTGTTACAGGTCATTCAGTCCTGATACAAGCAAAATGAGAGTTTGCTTCATTTCCAGCAGTGAGTCAGACCCCTTCAGGGTGGGAGCTGGACTCCAGAACGGCCTGTTGTCACCAACATTTTAACTTTTATTGACAGAATGTCTCGGTGCAGCCAGGGCGAGGACAGAGTCTGGTTTGGTGGCCTCAGGATTCCAGCTCTGCTGTTTGCAGATGATGTGGTTCTGTTGGTGTCATCGTGCTGTAATCTTCAGCTCTCACTGGAGCAGTTCACTGCTGGAATGAGYATCAGAACCTTCAAATCTGAGTCCATGGTCCTCAGTCAGAATACAATGGATTGCACTCTTGGGAAGTTTGGGGTATTGGCCTCAAGTGGGGGAGTTATCGGGGTAGGTTGAAGTTTTGTTCATGAGGGAAGAATGATTCCTGAGACTGAAAGGTGGTTTGGTACAGCTTCTGCAGTATTACAGACTCATTGCTGGTTTGTTGTGGTTMAGGTGTAGTTGAGTTGCAAGGCAAAGCTCTCTGTTTACCAGCTGGTCTACACTCCTTCCTTCACCTGTAGCCATGAACTCTGGGTAGTGACTGAAATAAAGAGATGGCATGTACTGTACATATGGTTTAAAGGAGTTTTCTCTGCAGGGTAGCTGGACTTTCCTAGTTCAGTTCTSTGGGAGAGACTTAGAGTAGAGCTGCCGCCCCTCCACATCCAGAGGAACCAGTTGAGATGTTTCATCTGGTCAAGATGAACCCTGAACTCTCTGGATGGTCAGAAGGACATTCTGTGATTGTCCAACAGTTTGTCAGAGGCCAGAGTTCCTGTTTCTTTGTGATAAACACCAGATACCATGGAGAACTCTGCAGTTGGAGCTTTGTGTTGTTTTTGTTTAAAACATCAAAGCAAAGTTTGAAACAGATACAAAGACTCAGAGGGATGAGATCTAGGAACTAAGTTGTTTAGAAAGAGTTGTGCTGGTGACTCCATGGATTTCATCATGTTACATCACACATTATGTRATGTTCTGTGTACCTGTGGCAGGTTTTAAAACTGTAAGAGAGAGAGGTGAACCCTACAAAACGAAATGTGTAAATAAGATGTACAAGCAGAAGCTGCTGCTGTTAACAGAGCCTTCACAGCAGCAGGTAACACTCTGTTGCTTCAACTACTGTCTTATTAAAAGCTGTTAAAGTTTATAAATGCAGAAGAATTGAAATCTGTATCTTCTGTGTTACTGGTTGATTTTTTATTTATTTAAAATGTTTTGTTGCTTTTTGGTGATTAAACAGAATGATGTTCTTTCAGGCTGATGGAGAACTACACCTACAACAGTCTCATTCTGCAGGTGGAGGGGTTTAAGATCACAGAGGACTCCAWGTACCTGGTGTTTTCCTTTCTTCTTGTTTCCTATGTTATAAATATGTTTATGAACATGAGTATTTTGATTCTGATTATGGTTGATAAGAACCTCCATCAGCCCATGTACGTGCTGTTCTGCAGCCTGACGGTCAATGACATGATTGGATCTTGTYACGTTTTACCTCGTTTGCTGTCAGACATGTTGAAGCCTCCGGCTGAGCGCCTCATCCATTACCATGAGTGTGTGGTTCAGGCGTTCATCACTCACTATAATGGTGCCACATCTCACACAGTCCTCATGATCATGGCCTTTGACCGATACATGGCCATCTGCAAACCTCTGCACTATTCTTCAGTYATGACCAGTAAAATGATGGTCAAGCTGAYGGTTTCTGCCTGGGGGGTACCGCTGGTTCTGGTTGGGATTCTGGTGGGTCTAAGTGTCCGTCTGAGCCGGTGCCGGGCTGTGATAGAGAACATAAACTGTGACAATGCCTCGTTGTTTAAGCTTTCGTGTGAAAGTGTGGTGATTAATAACGTGTACGGGCTGGCCTACACTGTGGTTCTGCAGACAGCCTCTGTAGGCAGCATAGTTCTGACCTACATTCACATCATGGCCGTCTGTCTGACCMRGAAGAACAAGTCCCTGAACAAGAAGGCATTAAAGACCTGCAGCACTCACCTGGTGGTGTACYTAATCATGGCATGTACTGGATTTACTGTCATTACTCTCCATCGGTTCCCTCAATACTCAGAATACAGGAAGTTCTTTGTGGTCGTGTTTATCATTGTTCCTGGAACCCTCAACCCAATAATCTATGGTGTACAGTCCAAAGAGATTAATAAATTCTTGTTTAAATTATTTAAATCAAAGACGTGCTTTCCCACAAAAAAAGGTAAATAGTAAAATAATGACAATAAATCAAATAAAGCACAAAAAAACAATCTCATATGTTGGACACGTCTAATTTAATGTTATCATTTCCAGATTAATCTGTAAATAAATTCACAGCTAAGCTCATCTCAAGTATCTTCACATGAAAAGTTACAAGCTAATATAAAAGTTCATATAAATAAAACCAGTTTAACTTTGTTCCAATTTAACTGTTCAGAAAAGACAGAAACTGCTTTTTTTATATCTTCTCTTAAMTGATTCAGGAATCAATAAAGTGAAAAACTTTTCAACTTGGGTGTAATTTATGTTATTATATAATGTAAAATGTACTGTTGGAACCTTGGTTTATAGCTCTSAGATAATGTGAAACTATTCACATCGAAATTATTTAAAAGATTAAATTTCACCTGAGCTACTTTAAAACAGACCTCCACCTGTAGGACTTA